TTGCCATAGCTTTCCTCCCCAGGAGCAAGCATCTTTTAATTTCATGGCTGCAGTCTCCGTCTGCGGTGATCTTGGAGCTCAAATAAAGAAGTCAGTTACTGCTTCCATTCCTACCCCTTCTATTTGCCAAGAGTTAATGGGTACAGATGCCATGATCTTAAGTTTTTTTAATGTTGAGTTTCAAGCCAGCTTTTGCACTTTCCTATTTCCCTTACCTGGTATGATCTAATTGGCATCTACATCACTTCAGAAAAGAAATCTTCCTACAATTTGATTAAGGCTTCAAGGAATGTTGGCCCTTCCTGCTACGTCTTTAGTTATTTAATTTTGGGCTCGGGTGGAGGATTCCTAATTCTTTCTGTTAGGTCTTAACCTTTTTAGGTGAGCCATTCTTACTATAATTTGATCCTATGACTTGATTGCTGATCAGATAAAGGATGGAAGCATGAGACAAATGGGAAGCTTTGACTTCCTGCTGAAATGAGGGGGGGGGGAGAATTGGATTTCCTTCTCACAATCCCTCCTTTTTCTTTTTGTGCAAAGCAAGAATATTTTATGCACAATCAGTTAGGGAATCTTGTAGCTATATATCATCCTGTGACTCGAATTCATATTTTTGGCCATTCTGCATCAAGATTAGGGATCCCTGCCTTGGGGAAAGGCTGTTGATCTTGCTTTGAGAACAGAAGAACATTCCCTACAACACCCCAAGCAGGAGGGTAAACCCTGAGCAAAACAGCAAACAAATATTCCTATTACCACCAAGCCCATAATTCCCAGAAATGTTGGCTTCAGCCCGGAAAAATTTGGTAACCAGGAGGTAAACCGTGAGAAATCAAAGCAGCCCTGACTAGCCAATGTTGTGAACCAAAGTTTTTAAATCCTGTATATTTCTCTCTCTCAATTTGGAATTATCAACCAAATTAAAACAGCACATGCCTTCAGGAGGGAGAAGGAAAATGGCTCAGGGGGCTGAATACAGGGCAGTCCACCCCTGGGGAGTCCTTGGGGCTCTCTGAGCTTGGTTGTTTTTGCAAACGTTTCTTGCTAGCACTGAAGAGGTTGCCTAGCCGGGTAACGAAACTTTTGCAAGAAGACAACCAAGCTCAGAGGACCCCAAGGACTCCACAGTTCAACCCTGAGCCTCACATATTCGCTTCTATTGGTCAGTCCACCCCTGCAAGCTTTCTCTTGCACTCAGCTTGCCCAGCCCTCCGCAGGATGCCCTGAGTTTCACTTGAGGGGCTTTACCTGCCCATCCTATGTACCGTAGACACATGGCCTAATTCAGGGTCATCTGGTGTATCCTCCTGAATTGACGGCTTACGTTGTTCTTGTTCCACCTTCAATGCTACTGCTTGGCTTGAAACCAGTTGGATGTTTGGTTGTTGAGATCCACTCTTCTTAAACCTTGGGCATCGTGCTCTAATATGGCCTCATTGTTTACACAGATAGCAGATAGGTGCTCCTGATGTAGAGTTACCAGACTCTCTATGATCTCGAACTCTGGTTCCTATTTGCCCTGATGAGCGTCGCTTCCATATCGGAGCTGACCGCTTCTGCTGTTGTTGTTCAGTCCTCAGTTGCTGTAAGTGCGAATACGGGTTGTTCCCTATAAACTCACTATACTCAGGATGTTTAGATCGTGCCTGGCGATTTAGTGCAGCAACGTCATCTAGCATCCCTGCAAGCATGCGTCTGTCTGTCTGTCCTTAGGTCTTTGAGCACGAGCAGATGTGCATGTTCTGGGGGAATGACTTGGAAGACTCGTTCTTTTACTATTAACTCTAACGGGTCATGAAAAGTGTGGGCGCTGACACTCTCCACCCATCTCATACACAACCTCTGCACTCGACTCACAAATGCGCTGTATGATTCTTCAGATCTTGGCTGAGCCTCTCGGTTGCTCTGTGGATGGCCCAGACTGCCTGAGTGCTAGCATTTTGAAATAATGGTAGTCCTTTGCTTGGGTTGGGGCCATCTGAGACAACCATTCAGCAACTTCCCCATGCACACAGCGCCTAAGTACTCCCATATATTCTATTTCAGGCAGCTGGTGATCCTGTGCCGTTGCTTCAAATAACGCAAAGAAAGCAGAGACATCCTCACCGGACCTCCACTCTGGAAACGTCAACTGTGCCCATCTATCTTGGGCGCTTTGGACAAGATGATTGTCAAGTCCACAAAATCCAAACCCCAATTTAGAAGAATTCTCGTGAAACCAGGCCC